TATTTTATGCATAGTAGTCAAAAAGTGGAAACAATCCAAATGTTCTTCTGTTTATGATGTATAAACATGATGTATGTAGCAAATTCTAACAATGGAATATTATTCAGCCATAAAAGGAATGAAGAACTGATACATGCTACAACAAGGATGAACCTTGAAACATTATGCAATCGATGTAAAAGAAGCCATAAACAAAAGGCCACAAATTGTATGATTCTGTTTATATGAAATGCCCAGAATAGGCAAATTCATAGAGACAGAAAGTAGATTAATTATTGGCAAAGGCTAGGAGGATGGGACAATGAAGAACAAGTGCAATTGGGCAGAACGTTTCTTTTTACAATAATACAAATATTTTGGAATTGATAGGGGTGAGACTGCACAACTGTGAATATACTCAAAAGCACTCAATTCTATACTTTGAAACTTAACTTTAGGGGCACCTGGGTGGCTCAGTCAGTTAAGAATCTGCCTTTGGCTCAGGTCATGATCCCAGGGGGCTGGGATCAAGCTCCACGTCTGGCTCCCTGCTCACAGGGGAGCCTGCTTCTCCCTCTGCCCCTCTCCCTGCTCTTGCTCCCTCTTCCTCTCTCTCTCTCTCTCAAATAAATAAATAAAATCTTTAAAGAAAAAGAAAATAAAACCTAACTTTATGGTATGTGAATTTTACCTCAACTGACAACTAAATAAATAAAAACGAAAACAACTAAAGCAACTCCTATCATATATTTAATATACAATATGGTGCCTAGCATATAGAAAATCCATAATAAACCATAGCTCTTACTCTTTATCAATTTCTCCTAAAAAGACATAATTGTAAACACTGTATTGCAGTAATGTCTTATTCAGTTTTATATAATATGAAATGTGGTGGGAAAAAAGCATGATATCTAGAATTATGTGCTTCAAAGACATAAATGTCAAAATAAAAACTCTTAGCATATTGAGAGAACCGTGGTCTTAATTAGTTTAGTTCTCTAGGCAGATGCATTGCTCCCTTGACATCCAGACTTAATATGCATATAATTTTTTCTATGCTATTTTGTTCAGCAGAAGGAGCTTATTTCATTTATTGATAGCTATGAAACATTTTTGGTCATATCATCTTTAGCAACCAAAAAACTCATGTGACTTTCTCAAAAAATAATGCAAGTTTTTGTTTTTCCTATACAAATCAAGGGAGGAAAAAAGCTATATAGGTCAAAAATGTCTTGAATTTTTATTTTACACATTTTTTTAAATTTTACTCTAGCCTGTGACTTCTAGTCACTTGAAAGTATAATATGGGATTACATAGTCAAATTTGTAATTTCACTGTGTACCACAGAATAGGTACTGATAACTATATAGCAAATAAAATGGGAAATTCTAATTTCTGAACAAATAAAAAACTAGCAAAGAAGGCTGTTGATTTACACTCAGACCCATTCCTTGGGATTGAATGAAAGTGAGAGTCATGGTGTGTTTTTGAAAAACAGACATCAGGACTGTAAAAAATAATTAGAGAAACAGAAGTCAGTTGTGACTTACTAGTGAGACAAAAGTTCATGGCACTACCCTGGGGGAATATCCTGGAGGAAAATTTGATCTGTGCTCTTTTGATGTGGCCAAAGAAGAGCTACTGCATCTTATACACTGTTTGGCAGTGAAAGAGCAACACCCATGAAGAGCTTGCTGTAATTGGCTGGATGATGTCAGGATGTCCTGAGAGCCCAGCTTAGAGGAGGAACTGTTAACAGCTCTTGCTGGTTCAGAATTTTCTCTTCCTATCCAAGCTCCCAATCCTATATTTAGGACATCATAGATGAAGGAAGCCTCAAGCACATTTGTGTGCAAATGAAAGTAATAGATGTGTCCCATGGTGTTTTGTGTTAGGAATAACAGCAGATAGGTTGAGCAGTCAGCTTGCAGAGTCAGGGCTCTACACCCTGGCATAATTTCCCCACCCATTCCTGAATGTTTTGGGAAGATACAGAGAATGGCATATGCCTTAACTTCCATTCAATTACCCAAAGTATCTGATATATACATATGACTTGAAAATTTCAGTTGAAAAATAGATTTAAAAATTACATATTTCAGTGATTACAACTACTGTTAAATAGAATTAGAAGATAAGGAGAAAGAAAAGGAGGAAGAAAAAAATAGATATGAGGAAGAAGAAGAGGAAAAAAAGGAAGTGGGGAAACAGAAGGAGTAGAAAAAGGACGACTAACAGGAGAAAGAGAAGTGTAAGAGGAGAGAGAGCTGAGAGAAGGAAGATGATCACGTATAAATAAAAAAGAATTAATTAAAGAGGCAGATAGGAATTTGAAATAGGCATAATAAATAGTCTCACAGAGATAAGAAAGGATATTAATACATGGAGAAGAAAGCAATTATAGTGAATTACCAAACAGGAATAATAGTATGTAAAAAACAAAATTAATTAAGATCAAGACATCAATACAATGGAGAAATACCACAATGCACACAGATTAAGAACAATTTGTAGCACTAAGTAGTATAATTAGCTATCAGGAAGGGATAAAGGGAAACATATAAAATTAAACTTGAAAGATATGATGGATTAAATAAGAAATATCAACATCAGTATAATGGTAGTCCTTGGAAGAAAGAAGGTAAATCAAAGATTGATGTGTAATATTGAAGGAACAAGAATCTTACACCAAGGAGATTTATTGCAGTTGAGTATGACACAGAATGATGAACTTCCTGAGATTCAACTGATGATAAGGAATGTGATTGATCGTAAAGGAAACACTCAGCTTCCTCAGAGAACACACATGTGTCTTGTGATGCTATCAATCTGGCTTCAGCTGATTGGACTTTGGATTGGCATCCAAGTTGAAGGTAGTTTTCTGTGTACTGGGCATTGCTAGCAATCTATGAAGCACATTGAGATGAGAATTGTGTCCAGACATGATGCCTCTCTACTAACTCAACAAGGTCAGATCTTGAGCTGTATTGTAGTAGAGAATTTTTAAAAAACTGACAGGAAGCAATAATCACATGGAAGTAAAACAGGGAGGAAACCAGTGGCATGAGATATGGAGGAGAGGTGATCCCCTTGAAGACAGAAGTGAAGCACAACAAAAAACACAAAGCAAGAGAGGCCGAGGCATGAAAATACTGACTACTCTTACTTTTGGGTCACTAAAACTTGTGAGAAATGCTGTACTACATGTCAGATATCTGTGATACTTATTAGCTCATATAATTCACTATGCAGCCTTACTTCCACATGGACCTTTACAATAAACTCTTTAGCAAATATGAAAAACTAAAAAACAATATCCAAGGTTACCATTTTGCCCAATCTTGATCCTGAAAAGACCAAAACCTGTGTGATAGTATTTCGAGGCAAACCATCACCTTGTACACTTGAAATTAACATCATGTAAAATGTATTCTTGGTGAAATATTTTGAAGTATGTTTTCTTGGCATGCAAATAACCTACATAATTGAACTTCAGCATACCTTGATAGAAAAGAATTGAATTGTCTAAAACAAAAAGGGAGAAGACATTAAATTCCAAAAATTCTAATCCAGAGTGCTTATTCTCTGTATTTCACTCCAACAGAAATAGATAATTTGATAGCTAGATAATAAAAACAACACATACAGCTTTCACATGGATATAAAAGCAAAAATCCTCCAATATATTTGAAAAAAATCATATAAGAAATATTTTATACTTATAAATATTAGCTGGGAAGAATCATATGCTATTCATGTTTTCCATATCATAATTGAGTTCCATGTGATTTAAATAAATTATATGGTTTTAATTTAGAGCACAGAATTTTAGAACTTGAAAAGGTCTCACACACTTATTACTATTCTTTAATTTAATAATGACTCATGTGAAGAAAGGGGAGGTAAACCAGAAGATAAGAAAGGTAAGTTGCTTTAGTTCAGAGCTATTTTACTTACTTATTTTTTTAATTTTTTTTTTAGATTGATGGTAGAGTAGACAAGAATGGGATATGCAGTGCTGAAGACCTCAAAACACTAATATGTGTTTTTTTAAATGATCTATAATTTTGCTTGCCTATGAATGTCTATATCAGTGGATTTGCAATTAAACCCTGATACCTTTCTAATGTGTATATTCTAAATATGAAAGACAGTTGATTACCTGACATATTTCAGGTCTTCAAAAAAAGTAATTTGCACTTCCCTTTGTAATCCCCAAGATACAAAATACAAATTCAGAAACTGTTAGCCATTATTACATTCCTCTTTTTCAAATATTTGTATAGAACTTTACAATTTACACAGTGATTTCATATTCATTACATCATTAGATTTTTATCTACTTAATAACTTTGAACTGGTGGCAAATCAAGAAACTGAGGGCTCATAGTTTAAGTGCTGACCTCAAATCGTGTCAATATGGTAGCTTCAAGACTCACACCCAGATCTTCTGAATCCCAGTATCTTTCTCCCCATCTCCAGGTTACTCCATAATAGAAATCACTTGAATCCTATATTATTGACCCCTGGTGCCAAATAAGATGTTACTCTTTCTCTAAACCTTCCCCCATAAAGTTTTCAAGGTGGGATTACTTACATGCAAAAGAATGGTTAGGCTTGTCTATCCAGCAATGTGGAAGTGAGTCACCTCAATTTTAAATTTTTCTCAATGCACATTAACCATTTCTTCCTCTGGGCTGCATTACTCTGGCCTTTCTGTGATAGTTCTACTTTTTTATTTTTTTATATTGAACTTTACATAGTGTATGAATGTCAGATTGTGAAAACTTTAGGATAGCTTGAGGCTTACTTATTGTGGTATCTTTAACATCTTTCTCAACAGTTTAATGCACATTGATCAACCCAGGAAAATGTCAAGAACTTAAAAATGCTCCAAATAAGCCTGTAATTTACCTAAAGTTAATGATAATTGATGACAGTAATACTATATTTTAACATACATTTTCACTATCATTAAATGTTCTAAAAATAGTATCAGTAAAGTAAGAGATCTTACCTAGACCATGTCTATGTGTTGACATTGGTGGTAAAACAGTCCAAGTCTTGGTTTTGGGATTGTAACATTCAACAGTGTTCAATGTCTTTAAGCCATCTCGACCTCCAATTACAAAGAGTTTGTCATCAATAACAGCCACACCAAACTGCAATCTCCTGCCGTTCATCATCCCTGCCTGGATCCACAAATTTGTTCTGAGGTCATATTTCTCTATGGTTGTAGCTCCTGATAAAACATAAAATCAAATAGTCACCATTTACTACTAATCCAACAGACAACCTGCCCAAATGTACAAATGTACAAATTAAGATGTGAAAACACTCTTGTCACATTTATTTTTCTTAAAGAAAATGTGGCAGAAAACCAAAGGGAGTAGTAATTTAACTACATTATTTTATCTTTTTGGCAGACACTAATGATCAAAATAGATACACATCTACAGCTTGTTTGAATTACATAATGGTCTTATGCTAAACTATTGATTCAATGGAATCATTGTTGGTCATATCACAGTTCTGTCCGTAGATTTTACAACTTCTTTCTATCACTGTTTGCCATAAAAAAAAAAATAATAATAATCCTAGTATAATTTCTATATAATTCCTGTATAATTTCTGAAAATGAAGATAAAAGAATTTAATAAATTCTTTACCATGTTTCTTTTAAAATTTTCTTTATGCCTTAAGATAACAAAACATTTTATTTTACTTTAATTTATTTTTAAAGATTTTATTTATTTGAGAGACAGAGTATGCACAAGCAGGGGAGGGGCAAGAAGCAGACTCCCTACTGAGCAGGGAACCCAATGTGTGGCTCGATCCCAGGACCCTGAGATCATGACCTGAGCCAATCCCAGGACCCCGAGATCATGAGCTGAGCTGAAGGCAGACGCTTAACTGACAGTCACCCAGGCGGCCCAAAATAACAAAACAATTTAAAAGTCAATTTGAAGTTATGTAAATAAATGTCATCTATGCTTTTTTAAACCTTTTTTTTGCATCTGGAGAATAGCTTAATAGAATTGAGAGACATAAAATGATTTTCTATCCTTTATCAATCATGTTATAATCTCTAAATAAAATAGCTTATCTTTCATAAAAGCTTTTTATACATAAATTTGAGAAATGCAATAAATCTGATAGCAATATAGAAATTGAAAGAAGAAATAAGTTAAATTGCTGATTAGATATATTTTCATAGATTCATTTATACATTTCAATTAAAAATGTCTGCCTTGAACAAGTTCACAAATGTTTATATGACAAGATATAGCTTATAAACACTAATCTTGCTTTTCAGTGTTTGATCTTAATGTTCAGACTCACATTGACCAATGTTTTATCTTCAATGATTAGATATCCCTAAAAAGGGAGTCAACATTCTTGTGTACTTTCACTTACTCACTAAAGATGTATTTTACTTGTAACATAATAAAAGTTTGCAAACTAGAGAAAGCATTCATCAGGGGAACTCATTTACTATTTAGAAAGTAACCAGCACTGAACTAAACAAATATGAATAACTTGGTAGGAGAAGTTTTGCTAATTGAAGTAAAAATGATACAATGATGCTCCATTTTTATTCAAAGGTAACAAAGAATAATATAGATACTAGGTTAGATGCATTAAATCTTTTTTATGTTATTGAAAATACAAGCTAATTTCCATATAACTAAATATGAAGTATTATAAAATTATTATTATTATTGGAATAAAAATAAATTGTAATGTTCATAAAAGTTATTTATATTATTTAGTAACATAAGAAAAAAATATTTAAACAAATGTGCTTATTTTATGCTTAAGTATATTTACTATATTTTATATTTAATGTTTTATTGAATGATGAACAAGTCAAAATTCCAAGGTGAACTAATTTGTCCAATAATTTCAAGGTCATCTGAATTCTCAAAGCTTGATAACATTGGGATTTCATGAATACCTAATTAAAAATTATGTTATATGGAAGTACCTCTCCCTTATGACAGGTCCTTGACAAATGATAGTAGAAGAAATAGTGTAACTTAATCCTAACGAACCCAATTCCATGAGACCCATATTTTACAGGTATATGTAGACAAGGAAGTATGTGTACAACTGTACTTTTCATAATGTCCCAAACCTTGGTCAAAATCTTTGCAAAGAATTTGAGGTCCAGTCATCCTTCTAAAGGAAATAGTTGGAAATGTGTGAAATTAATGGCTTCTGAGCCACCAAAAGTGTTGTTATTCAAAGGGGAAAGTGAATATTTGATCTGAGTTTCAAAGTCTTATCCAAACAAGCTAGATATAACTTAAATCCCAACATATGGCAGGATATTTTACTTTTATAGTGTTTTCCCTCTGAGTCTTCAAAGGTAACCTACTCATTGTATCCTAAAGTTGTTACATCAGAAATGGAGTACATCCTTGTCTTCATTTTTTCAAATTTGACTGTTTTAATTTCCTATGGTTGCTATGAAAAATTATCTCAAACTTAGTAACTTAAAAAAATACACATTTATTATCTTACAGCTCTGGAGGTCAGAAGTTCAGAATAGGTCTTCCTGTGCTAAAATCAAGGTGTTGACAGGGACTTTAGGGAAGAAGTGAATTTCTTGCCTTTACCATTTTCCACAGGTCATCCATATGCCTTATGACCTTTTCTTCCATCTTCAAAGCCAGCAACATTGCATCTCTACATTGATTCTTATGATTACATTGGGCTCACCCATATATAATCTGAGTGAATGTAGAATATTCCTATTTAATGTAGAATAGTCAGCTTAAAGTCAGCTAATTAGTGGCCTTAATTCCCTTCACAACCTTAACACACACCCTCACACACACACACACACACACACACACACACACACATATAGTTAGCTATATGAGCTAGTATGTTCATAGATTCTGGGGATTAGAATGTAGACAAGGCCTATTTTCACTCCACTGTTTAACTTTGCATAGTTATAGAAAGTTTAGTAATACAAAACAAAGAAAGATTTCTTGATTTGTAAAGCTTACTTATAGTTAATCTAATTGGTTATTTTCTTTTTTTTTTTCTAATTGGTTATTTTCTTAGTCAGCATGCAATGTGAATGTTTTATCTCATTTTTAATGATCACAAAGCTAATAACATGCTTCCTCTTTTTCTAAAGAAAGCTATTAATAATAATGTTCTTTAAGAAATTTTCTTGGGGCGCCTGGGTGGTGCAGTCAGTAAAGCATCTGACTCTTGGTTTCAGCTCAGGTCATGATCTCGGGGTCGTGAGATGGAGTCCCACATGGGGCTCTGCACTCAGCGTGGAGTATGCTTAGGACTCTCCCTCTCCTTTTGCTTCTCCCCCCTCCCCAGTAAATAAACAAATCTTTAAAAAAAAAGAAAGAAAGAAAGAAAATTTCTCACCAATATACTTCATTAGCTATCTGTATAAACTTCTCTATTCTTACTATTTTTTGTAATTTATCAATTTGTTTATGAATACTGTTCGTTTTCTTTGCTTATTAGAGTATATATATTCCCTTAGTGGTTGCCTGAGTCAAAGGAAGAACAAAGCCATCCTCTGTGAGAAATGTTACCCTAGGTTTCTCCTTACAGTAAAAGCAATATTTGTCGTTACATAAATTAAAAACAGAATATGAGTAAGAGTGGACTCTTGTGATAAGTCATAAGTTTGAGAGAGATTAAAAATAAAAATTTATTTTAGCATATAGTTACTTTGGATTTATTCTGTTCATGAAACTATCACTAGTTATCTCAGCTGCCTGCATGACTTTAAAATGGGTGACTGCAGACACAGTAGAGTCCTGACAACTTTGATAAACTGGACAGCATCCACTCTGAGATTCCAAACCATAAATCTAAGCAACCAACTTAAAATAATGTTTAGGTCCATTAAAACAGGTATAATGAGCACATCTGGCTATGGAGGTCTATTAGGACTGGTTAGATCCCTATTGCTTTGTGTTTTAAACTCTAGACTACTATGTTAAAGCATTTTGAAGGATGCATTATCTCTTGTAGGGAATTTTGCTATTCTGTGAGCTATAACTTTGTACAGTAACAATATTATTTTATAAAATGTGTAGTATAACTCAATAGAATCTAAAGCAATTTGTGAAATTTCCTAACTAAATGGAGTTATGTAATTCAAAGATAAATCTCATTCTTGGCATATAGAATAATGTGAAATAAAATCATAGACTATGTACTAGGTAAGGACAAGGTGCCTGGCATTTAAGATAATATAAAGTTTTGATGTTGCTTTATTTGAAACAACTCCTGAAATATCATTTTCTGTAAAAAGTAGTCAAAACATCAAGGGAAATCATGACATATATATTATTCAGGATTACTTAACATATTATCATGTTTTATTGAAATATGGTTGTTAAATAAATATTGAGTAAAGGGTTTGGAGTAGACTTAAAAATAAGATATTAATATTAATAGATAATATTTAGTGAGTACTTCCTGTGCTGTAAGAGATTTACATGTATTAGTACAATTAATTTTTATTAAAAACTGATGACATAGGTATTATTATGCCAAGTTTATTGAAAAGAAGATGAACCCACAAAAGCTTTAGTAACTTGCTCAGTGTCTCTGAGATAATAAGTAGTGGATCCACAATATTAACCTGGCTCTAGAACCCACTCTGATAAACACATCTCTTTAGCACCTTATCCTGGTTATAGAACAAGTTCACTCCACTTAATACATGGGGTAGGCAGCGTTTCCTAAATGCCCCTTCCTGAGATTTAATGACCTATTTCTCAGAACCTGTGAATGTGATAAGAAATCACTCCATTGGATTGTTATGTTGTCTGTCACAGTTCACCTTAATATAGGAAGATAACCTGATCACAGGAACCCCTGAAAATGGAGAGATTTCTCTGGCTAGTTGCAGGAGGGGAAGTCAGAGAGATTTGAAGCATGAGCAGACTCGACCTGCTGGTTTGAAGACGGAAGGGGCCACATGAGAAGGAATACAGGTGGCCTCTAGGAGCCAAGAGTGTTCCTCACCTGACAGCCAACAAGGAAGCAGTCAGTCCCTTGGTTCTACCACAGGGAACAGATTCTGTCAGCAGTCTGAATGAGCTTGGAAGATGGCCTCCAGCTCTGGATGAGTGCACAATCTAGCCAACACTTTGATTTCACCCTTTTGAGGTCTTGAGCAGAGAATCTAGGCATGCCACCCTGACTTCTGACCTACAGAACTATGAGCTAAGAGATGACAGTTGT